GGATTACAGGTGTAAACCACCACACCTGGCTTTCAATTTCTTAAGAGCTTGAGGAGTATTGATGATATAACCTCCTTAAAGTTTTTTTTTTTTTTTTTTTTTTAAGAATTCAGCAGTGAATTCATCAGGTGCTGGCCTTTTAAAAAGTTGGTAGCTTCTTTATTATTGTGTGTATTTCATAGCTTGTTAAACATGTTTTCTTGGGTTAGTTTGGTAGTTGTATGCGTCTAGGAATCTGTCCATTTTTTTCAAAGTTTATTAATTTTTTGAAGATACTTTTCAAAGTAGTTACTATCTTCTGGATTTCCACAGTGTTTCTTATGACTTCACCTTTTTTATTTCTAATTGCACTGATGTGAGTCTTTTCTTGATTTCTCTTGGTAAGTCTGGGTAGGGGCTTGTCAATTTTATTTATTCTTTCAAAGTGTATAGATTCACATCACCAACATCAGGTAAGTTACATCAAAGAGGGAAAGGGTAGTGATCAGTAGTTGGTTTCAGTGATGACTCACTGACTGGCACATTGTTTTGAAGTGTTGTAGTGTAACTGGAGGGAGGATATATTTTTATTGGTGATATGTGATGAAGGTATGCCTGAGATTTACATCTGAACCTTTTTTTCAAAAAGTACTTCATTTTTAAATATGTGACATCTTTACTTCTGCCAGTTGAGGGATTATCAAGTTGTTAAGAATTTGTGCACTTGATATAACATGCAGTGACAAAATAACCAAATGAGGATGGAGATATTCATCATTAGTGCTGATACTCCCCATCCTGAACCTGTGTTCAGCCCTGGCAGATCTATTGAGTCAAATTAATCAACCTGAAGTACTATTGTTTTTAGATTTATTCTGCCAAGATGTCATGTCAATTAGTTTCTAAGCTTGTTAACTGTGTATCATGGATAGTCAGCCTATGGTTAGGACAATGATCGCTGAAGATCACTAAAATTGTTAAATAGGCGAATGGAACTTACAGGCTGCAATCTGGTAGGAAAACAAATTGCTTTCCTATTATAGTACAAACTGACCTGGTAGAAGGACAAGATATATTATTTCTGGTGGCTTCCAGGGACACTTTTAGTATGAGAGAATAGGTATTAGAAAAGATACATATGGAGGCAGGAGATGAGTCAAATATCTCTCTGAGGCACCAGATTCTCCAATTTGACAAAATAAAAGTATTTCTCTGATGGAAACTACTACAAAGGAGCCCTGAGCAGAGACTTAAGTTAACCAATTGGCTTTTCATGTTTACTTGTGAATCTGTCCAAGATGTAGACTCCTTCTCTAGAGATGGGTGGTGGACTAATAGTAAGTGAACCTCTGTGAGTCACTAATCCCTACTAAGGCCTGTAATGGTGGATGAAGCCAGAAAGCCTCAAAGGGTAAGACAAGATCACAGGCAAGGACACTTGGATCCAACCTTAACTAGATAAAGACTGTAGCCTCAGGGATCTCACTCCTGGGTGGATTAACTTAATACCTTTCTCAGAGAAGTTCTTAAGTGGTTCTACCCTTCTTGAGTACTCCCCTCCCTTCTTCTGATAAATAAATAGGGCCCCCCAGAGAAGGTCACAGTCTTAGCCCTGAGAGAATCTCAAATTCTGTGAGAGGGCTTTGATTCTCCTGGAGCCCTGAAATCATTCCATTAGCCTCTTTTTATTTAGTCTTCACCATACACTCATTCGGGAGATTGCAGATCTGATCAGCATGCAATAAGTAAGGGATACTATTAACCTGGTATTTCTCCTCTGAACTGTTGGGAGGTTTGGGAAGTAAAAATGTGGGGAATTACTGTTAAAACGGATTACAAGGATGATCCCCAGAACTTTTTGCCTATCCATGTGGCTGACTGTGGGAACAGGATTTCACCATTATTACAGCTCAGCAAAATTGCTTGGATTGACACAATATATCTGTATAGAAGAAAAGCAAATTAAGAAAATAAGGAAAATGTTCTATAATGCTAATAAAGCACTGATCAGATATGTAGACATAATTTAAATTGGGAATCTTAAGTTTATTGATAATAAATTGTGCCTTGGTTAACAAAGATCTGAACGGTATTTTTTGCTTGTTACTATTAAGTATGATACTTTTAATTCAGTAAATCAAAAGTAAATCAGAAGTTGGTGAAGGGAGCTTACAGAAATATTTAGTTTTTCATAATAAATGAGTCATTTCAAGATAATTTGCAGCAACAAACAATGTTCACATTTCCTTTTGATAACTGTACTTTCCACAAACATTCCTGAGTGTCTAATAAGGGATTTTTCATATGGTTGAGATGCATTATGAACACAACAGACAAAAATTATATTCTCCAGGATCCTTGCAAGAGAACTCCAGTTGTTGTAATAAAAGACAAAGACTTATGTGATCTACCAAGCAGGAAGAAGAAGGGAACATTTATGAGAAGAGCCCAGCCTTGTTGATATCTTATATGGAAAGTTGGTACAGTGGTTATTGTCTGTGTTCTGTCTTGGGACTTTGTCACCTGGTCTTCCCTTGAATCACTCAGTCACCTGGGTGGTTAATTCAATGTTTGTAGTTATCTGTTCCTGAACTTAACAGCAAATCCAATCACAATCCTAGAAGAGTCTCTTCATAGGGGCAGAAATGGAGATGACTTTAAGTACCTTCTTTAAGAACATGTTGAAATAAAACTTTAAGGATTTACAAAATGAAAACTTGCTTTGTATCATCAAGCAATACAAAAAGAGCCAAGAGTGATATTTGGATTCTCAGGGACTATAGCACTAAGTGGACACATAACACCACCAATTGCCCTGTTATCTGATTCTCTATAGCCTTATCTTCTCCTATTGCAGATGTATTTTCCTGACAAGGCTACTAGCAGCTCTTCAGTCACAATGTCACTAGTCTATGATGTTCCACTTCTAAAGTCCTGGAGGTATTCTTATTTTCCAAATCAGATTCAACCTTTCTGTGCAACATTCAATATCAGGTCAGAAAAACTGGGTATCATGGTTTATATATGATGTATGTACCAGTACCCTTTGCTTAAGAAGGATGTGTTACTAAAAAAACAGAATGTAGGGAATGGGTGAAAAACTGCCACGTTCAATGTCTTTACTAATGATGATTTATATAGGAAGACATTTAAAATCAGTGGGAAAGAAGTGAATTAATTTAATAGTATATGGAACACTGTTCATCCAGAAGAAAAATACAGATTCTTATGTGAAATGACATCAGTGTAGACACTGCATATACAGAGCCCTTTACTTTGTATCTATGGGGAGATTGGGAATGTTTTGCCATACCAGCATGATGACCACAATCTTGGCAGTGTTGGCTGTATCAGCAGCTTTATTACAGTTAGTCTTACAGTTGACACCTAGTGTAGTAACCTAGATGGGACGTGCAGTGCCCGTTTTCCCTCACAATTCACAGCACCAGACAGGGATCCTTTTAATCTGTCTAGCTTCCTAATTGTAATGTCATATAGCTAAGCCACGACAGGAACACAGGGGTCAGTAAGAACAAGACCAGGCTCATTAAATGGAGTACTGGCCAAGCTGAGGACATCCTTGTACCCTGCTCATAGAGAGGAATGACTAGTTTCATACCTGGGTCTACAGAATGGCAAAAAGTTCAAATGGCAGCAACTTCCTAGTCTTTGCAGTGTTCCTAGTCTTAGCTAAATCACTGTGAACCAGCTCTAAGTAAAAGTGAGGGGTCTATTAAGCCAGGTTCAGGCAACTAATTGGGAGACAAATTTCCCTTTTAAGAAACAACTGCTAGGGCTGGGGATATAGCTCAGTGGCACAAGTGCCTACCTGGCAAGCATGAGGTCTTGAGTTTGATTCCCAGTACCGAACAAAAAAGGGAAAAAACCCCCAACTGCTATGATTGCATGCATAGTTGAGATATTATGGTGCTCAGCTGAATTTCTGAGCATACATTTTCATTTCACAAGTTGAAACTCATGCTCATCTCATTAGTTGCTAAGTCCAAAATGAAATGCCAAGATGAAACTGGAATTTTAGGTCAGAGGCTTCTCTCCAGGCCAGAAGTTTTTAGTGAATAAAAACCCCAAAAGTAAGCTAACAGCTGCTTTACTAAAGGAGAGAACCTGATACAGCTTTTTTAGGACATCAAGTCAAACCTCCCATCCCCAGTCCAACAACTGCCTCTTTTGGCCAGAAGTTTTTAGTGAATAAAAGACCCCAAAAGTAAGCTAACAGCTGCTTTACTAAAGGAGAGAACCTGATACAGCTTTTTTAGGACATCAAGTCAAACCTCCCATCCCCAGTCCAACAACTGCCTCTTTTGGCCAGAAGTTTCAATCAATAAAATCAGCAGCCGTAATGTTAAATGCATATACCAATTTATCAAGATGAATACACTAATTTAAAAAATTATCAATTACAGAGATCTAGAGCCCAAAACAGTCATCAGAGTGGTGGGACCACAGAACTATTTTCACACGCAACTCTTTCTGACTAGGAAAATTGCATCTATCACTTATGGGAAATAAAGAATGCACTACATTAACTTTTATTCTTTCAGATGCACAAAGAACCACAGTATATTGCACTGGCCCAAAGGGCCCCATCTATAAATTACATCTATTTTCCTTTTCTACTTTGAACCTTACTGAAACCCCATCTAGGTTCCCCTATCCACAAGAGCAACTGTATTCATTTCAGATGTAAACCTTTGAGTTCTTCTCCTTTTCAGAGTACTCAATTCACTGCTAATGGCTTCCTCTCCCTTCTGATGGGTAATCCTTTCTGCTTAAAGAATCTGTGATTGGGGTATATGAATCAGGAGGTGTGAAAGGAGTGACTTTATATCTTTCATATGAATTCTCTGATGATCTTTGAAGGTCCCTTTGACCCAGAAACCCTTGGATGTCATTGTGCCCTTTGGCAGACTTAGGCTTGGCTTATACGCAATTTCTACCTTTGTGTCAGAGCAATGATTCAACTACATGTAGAAACAACTAGGTCAAAACATGCAAGAGCGTAACAGAACAAAGGTTTAATTTCACCCCACAAAAAATTCAACTGGAAAAAGTGTGGAAAGGGATTTTGCTCCATGTAGTTACTCAGACACCCTGGATTCTTCTTTTACTAAGCCACATTAAAGCACAGTACTCATTGCTGACCTAGAAAGCATATTCATTTTATTCTGAAAGGGTGCTGGTGGTTTCTCAGAGGAATATTTTATTTGTCAGATATGGTTGTACATACAACATAGGCATCCATATGCCAGAAGCCAGACACGTAGCCCCACTTAGGTGAAAGGGAGATTGAGAAATTCAGACTATGTGCCTAGAGGAAAAAATGAAATGGTTAGTGATAACTAGATTAACAGATAACTAAATTCAGTATGAGTTCATTCAGGACTTCCCATACTCCTTTGAAACAAAAAACTGTGAATTCTGTATCACATTTGCCTTTTGGACAAAATTCTCTCTACATTCACACACAGTCTCTCTCTTGTGTGAATTCTCTTTCAATTCAAGGGTAGCCCTCTGGGTCTACTTATGTGGTGGTCTTTTTATCAGATTTCCCATAGTTATTATATGAATAAGGTTTCTCCCTCCCTCAATTGTGTGGTGTAACTTTCCATATTCATTTCACTCAAAGATTTCTCTCCACTATGATTTCTTTGATGTATTTTGAGGTTTGATTTCTGGCCAAAAGTTTTCCCACACTGACAACACTGATAAGGTTTTTCCCCTGTATGAATTCTGTGGTGATCTCTAAGGATTGCCTTCCGAACAAAATTTTTCCCACATTCATTACATTTAAATGGTTTCTCCCCAGTGTGAGTTCTCTGATGCACTCTGAGAGTTGATGTCCGGGCAAAAGTTCTCCCACACTCATCACATTTAAATGGTTTCTCTCCTGTGTGAATTTTCTGATGTTGCCTAAGATGATCTTTTCTCCAGAAGGATTTCTGACATTCATTACACTGATAAGTTTTCTGACCAGTATGAGTTCTTTGATGTATTCTGAGGTTTGACTTCTGGCCAAATGTTTTTCCACATTCGCTACACTGAAAAGATTTCTCTCCTGTGTGAATTCTATGATGATCTGTGAGAGTTGATTTCTGAACGAAAGTTTTCCCACACTTACTACATTTAAAGGGTTTCTCTCCTGTGTGGATTCTCTGATGTCCCCTAAGGGTAGACTTCTGGACAAATGTTTTCCCACATTCATTACACTTGTATGGCTTCTCTGCTGTGTGTATTCTTTGATGAGTAGAGAGGTGTGACTTCTGGGAGAAAGTCTTTCCACAGTCATTACAGGGAAATGGCTTCTCTCCTGTGTGAGTTCTCTGATGTTGAATAAGATGACCTTTCTGACAGAAGCACTTCCCACATTCATTACATTTATAGGGTTTTATCACAGAGTAAGTTCTCTGGTATATTTTGCAAGTTGATGTCTGATAGGACTTCTTAATTTCATGAAGTTCAGAGGATTTATCCTTAGTTGGTGTTCTGTCATTACATACCAGTGGATTCCCTCCTTCAACAGTTCTCTGAGAGTGACTAAGGTATAACTGCCTGCTAAAATTATTTCTATGTGCGCTACATTCACAATGTTTCACAGCCACATTACACTTATTGTATTCCTCCAGGGCTGACTTCTCAAAAGCGTTTCTATATTGGTGAAGATGAGAGCATTTTTCCCCTGTGTTGATTATTCTCTGGTAAAAGAGAGCTGTCTTGTCATGGTTTTTCCTACATTCAACATCCATATGAGATTTTTCAACTGTGTAAAAACTCTTATGTGTGACACAGTCAACCTCTTCATTGAAGCCTTTTAGAATTTCATTGCCATGGAAATCTTGCTCTAACATTTGAAACTTCTGAAGTTCAGGAAGATTTTTCTTACTACCCAGGGTTTTCATGTTTTTATTGTATTTACAGAAGTTCTTTCCAGATTGAGTTTTGTCATACTTAATTTTGAAAGGCAAATTCTCAAAGAAATTATGGCAATTTGCTTTCTTTGTTGAATAAGTCATATTATTATTAATAAATTCAGAAATGTCTGGCAAGTTTCTTCCCTGTGAGTCACATTTGTAGGAAATATTCGTTGAACAAACTGAAGCAGTGCACAAATTAAATGGTTTTCCTAAAACATGCTCGTCCTTGCTAATTAATGTTTTATCATTGATGGATATTACTTCCTGAAAATGTTTGGCTTTTCTTTTCTTTTTCTTCTTGATCAAGTACTCATATTTGTAACCTCCCAAAACTGAAAAATAGAAAACATATTATGAATGTCATACCTTTTATGGGTAGGAGATACATGCATACAACTGGTGTTGTATTCTATTCTTTGATTTCTCAAAACCAAATAATTTAAATGTGTATATGAAGACATATGCATGTAACTCTTCTCTTACAAATAATATTAATACAATGCACATGGAAGAAGAAACTGGTAATGAACGCACACTTATGTATTCTGGTAATGAATGTTGTTTAACATGTAATAAACATGATTTTCCTGGGGGAGAAAGTGGGTACATATTGGAAAGAAAAGGAAATAGAAATTAGTCTTATAAAAGTTTATTTCAGGGGCTGGGGATTTAGCTCAGCGGCAAAAGCGCCTGCCTGGCAAGCGCAAGGTCATGAGTTCGGTTCCCGGTACTGGAGAAAAACCAAGAAAAAAAAAAAAAAGTTTATTTCAGGCACCAGGGATGTGGAGATATGATAAACATAACAAAGACTACATACTTTATAATTACAAGATAAATTGAAAGGTAATATTAATAAAATGGGCTCAATATAAAAAAGATTTGGTTTAGGAAGTAAATTACAGTCTAGGTCCTGACTAACTATCTCCATTTTTCCAGCTTGATAGCCCTCATTTCCATCAACTCTTCAGTAGCAAATGTGTAACAAATAAGTACTATACAAACTGAGGAAAAGAAAATTCAATCTTGAAATCACATTTCAGTTCCATTTTGGCTATCATCTTTTATTTATTCTGTCAGAACTAAACAATAAGTGAATCTGACCAGACCATTCTACATATCCACATTTCAATGTGACATAAGGAGTGCAGTTTTAATTGTGGTATCATGGAAGGTCTTACTGTAAATATGACATTCAAGAAAGGCCTAAATTACTTACATATTCTAAATGCCCATCCTTGATAATTTATATTGAAAATATAACTTGTCACTTATATTTTTACCTCTTAACCATTTATGTGGGAAATTATATGTACATGTACACATAAATGTGTACAAACTCATATGTGTGACTTTTATGAGCAAATTAATAGCACTTGTTTACTTCTGGTGGGGAGTCAAACTCCAGGCCTTATGTGTGCAAGACAAGTGTTCTACACTAAGCTACATTCTCAGCCTCAACGTAAGAGGATTGTGTGAATACTCATGGAATTACAAACCATGTTAAGAAAGAGAACACAAATGACTGTACAAAAATTGCAGTATTTCTTGCCCAACAATTTCATGTTTGTATTTTATCACTACCCTAATTGTCATGCAATCATTTCTTTCATATGGTTTTACTAGTAATGTATGAATGCCTAAAAACCTACTTGAGTTTTGCCTGTTTATGACTTTTACATTAATTTAACCATTAGTGTATATCTATATTTTTTGCTTAATATTATGTAATTGTACAAAATTTTATGTGGCTCTATCATTTTCCCTTAAAGAATACAAAAATCCATTTTACTGCTGATTACATTAATGTCTGGCAAATATAAAGAATTTATTCATTAATATTGTTATGGATTCCAGAGAATGTAATTATAGATTTTGAAGGGTATATAATTAGGAAAGATCTTGCCTTGTTACAAGAATAACTGGATAAATCTCCCTCACTTCAGAGGTTTCACAAGTGCCATCTTCTGAAACACTGTCATAATTCTCTAAACCCTGAATTCTGCCCTGAATTTCTTGCAACTCCACCTCCTATAGAACCACTGACCCCAATCTCTGATGTCTAGCAATAGAGCTCTTAAATGAGCACTTCTTGCTCATGTAGCCTGCTCATAGTGCATTGACAAAACAACTGTCAGTGATTTTATTCCATGGATTCTTCATCCAAGCCATGACCTCTTGCAGGCTGGGTTTCACAAAGTTTCCATGTTGTTTTATCTCCATTGTATTTTCAATGTAGTCATTAATTTCCATGTGCATATGGAATGGCAAGTTCATTGCAATATCAACAGTCTGGAGACAGGCAGTTATTCCTGTGGGAATCATTATTTGATCTATTCTTCTATCTGTAAGGAACTTTTTCATGTCTTTAGGGTGGTGAGTGCTGGCTGAATCCCAGACTTGCAGACCTCTTTGGCCACCTTGAAAAGCAAATGGCAGTATTAAATCAGCCCAGTTCCTGGTAACTGTGTGCACCAGGGTTTTTGGTTTCAAGAACAGAAATGCCTAAAACATGTTCAATCTTATCTTTCTTGCCCTTAGTGATGATTAGAGATGGGGCTTTCCATTCACATAAATTGCCAAAATGTAGGTAACACATGTACTTTCATAACCAGTGGAGGGAACACAGATTGACAAGCTGCCCTCTGATCCATTGTCATTTGAGAGCTGTGACCCATAAACACTACAGTCTCATCCATAACACTCATACTAGAAAGTTAGTATTTAAAGAAGTCAATGCCATCAATAAAGGACTTGACTGCAAGTGCATGTTTAGTAACTCCAGTGTCTTCTAGCTTGAACAGTGCTATTGATCTCAGAGACAGATCGTACTGCTGAAGGAAGCCATCCAGCCAGTGCTGTGATGCTTTGAATTCATCTGGGGATATTTCTAGTTGTGGTGCCACTGCAAGGGCAAATGCTTGAATATCAGCCTTGCACACAACCAGAGACTTTGCTTTCTTCTCAGTGGTCCCTTCACAGATGATTCTTCCAGCTAAGAAATAATGGTTGCCGACCTGATCCACACTTGTGTTTCTTAGTGTTTCCATGTCCACCACTCAGTGAGGTTATCATACTCCTGAGTGCCACTTCCAGACAACTTGGAGATCCAACTTCTCTTTACAGAAAGCTGTAAGATTCTTGCCTCAGGTGTCCTCTGCAATGCCTTTCTTGTATTTGACAGAACAGCTTTTTCTTTTTGCACTCATCTTGTTTGGGAGTCAAAATATTATTCCCTTTAAAACTACCATTAAATCAAGTATTAATTGAAGCCTTATGAGACAGCAGTGGCAATAAAAATGATGACAATTAAGAATGATGGTCCACATTAAAGTGATGAAAAATTACAGGTATCAAATTTCAGAAAAACCTTTATTTCACACAAGTGTGTTAAGTACATTCATTACAACACACAATGTATTGAATTATGAAAATTCAAGTTAGACACAACCATGTCCACTTGTTGTCAACTACACACATTACTCTTGAGTTATGCCTGTACTATGGTTGGTCATTCAGCAAATAAGTTTTGAGTTTGTCTGCTTATATAGACATATGCTTGGCTATTTTCAAATACTTATAATTTATATTATCTAAATTATCTAATTTATATTATCTAAATTATATTAACATTTTTATTATAAGTATTAATGTCAATATTATATTTAGCAATATCCTAATATTATTTTATAATTCAATGAGTACATCATTGTTCCAATATACATACTGAATGCATCTGTCTAGGTGACCATCTTAACTGGGGATTATTCTGGGGGTAAGGGGTTATATTAAGAGCATCTTAAAAAATCATGCTACGGCTTATTTTCAAGTTAGGTCTTATTTTGGGGAAAATACTAATGTATGTTTTGGGGAGTATTAATATATGAATCCCTAAAAATACAGTTTGAGTTTTGCCTGTTTATGACCTTTACATAAATGTAACCATTAATATGTATCTATATTTTTTGCTTATTATTATGTTTATAATTGTAAAAAAATTTATGCGGCTGTATCATCCTCCCTTAAAGAATACAACTTTCCATTTTACTGCTGATTAATGTCTGGCAAATATAAAGAATTTACTAATTAATATGGTTATGGATTGCAGAGAATATAATTACAGATTTTGAAGGGTATATAGTTAGGAAAGGTCTTGCCTCATTACAAGAATAACTGGATAAATTCCTCATTTCACAGAGGTTTCACACATTTAACTTCCAGTCAGTGGACATGGATATCCAATAACCCAAATCCTCTTTAGGACTTGGCATTGCCAATTGTTCACATTAACTTCATATCATACCTATAATTTTACTTTATATTTCACTTCAAATTTTATTTTGCATTCTATGAACACTAATGTGACTGAACATGTTTTCAGGTTTACTGGCCTTTTAGAAAGTTCCTGTTCAAAATGTTCTGCCCATTTTTCAGTGAGGTTGTCTGTCTTTTCCTACACTGACATATGGAAATTCCTTACCTTTTCAGGAAGTTTA